CTTGTTATGTCATACCAGTTGAGAAACAGAACTATTGAACATTCAAAAATGAGCGATTCCGAAAGTGAGGTTACTATTCAAAATCAGCCCGAACCTGAAGAAAATTCAGCCGAAATACCTAGTCAGCCAACACCAACACCAGCCACAGTGAACAGGGAACATTTCGAAGCTTTAATGAACAACATAAGTCAAACGCCAAAAACATTTCAACATGGATCAAAATAATCTACACCGGTATTTTCTATAGATAGTTTTGCCGGTTTACCTACAGAAGATGCCAACCTATGGCTCGATAAATTTGATGCGTGGATTGCGTTTCATGGATAGAACAAAGAAAATGAAAAAATCGCAAGTGCCATGCGTCTCAAACTTAAAGGAGGTGCGCTATCGTGGTTCAATGGTCTGCCTAATAGTGTTAAACGAAACAGTGATCAATTATTTACCAAATTTAAGGACCATTTTAATGGACTTCACCCGACGTGGATGCTTGAACAACATTTATATGAACGATGTATGCTTCCATCAGAATCCCTCGAAGTCTACATTAGTGACATTGAGAAACGGTGTAGCCGTTTGTGCAAAACAGACAGGGAGACTACAACCGTATTCATCAGAGGACTACCTGGATCGTTACGTGTGTTTGTGATTCAAAGGGACCTACAATACTTCAAAGATGCCGTGCAATCTGCAAGAGTGGCACAAGAATCGATGGCCGGACTCACAAGCACCTTCGAATATGGAGCTTCAAACTCAGTGTTGAATAAACTTTCCGACCAGGAGAAGGCAATCAACGATTTGAAAGACACTATATCCGCTATGCAGATTTCTCCCCCTAGAATAAACAAAAGTGAGTACAAAGTAGAGTGTAAACTCTGTACGAAAGCCAGACATTCTGCCAAAGACTGTCGAAGTTACAGTATACAAGAAAAATCTGGTTTTAATAAAAAGAGGGACATCGAGTGTTATAATTGTCACAAGCGTGGACATTACGCGAGAGAGTGTCGAGAATATTATATGGGAAACTAAAAAAGCCTAACAGTTCGGGGCGACTAGTTAGGCCGGAAGGACTTATTGACCCGTCAAGCCCAACAGTAAGTGACAGTTGTGTACAGTAAACGCTGCTTCTTTGATAAACAATTATATTAAGATTTCTATTGATAGTTATGATACATTTGCCTTGATAGATACAGGTGCAGATATTTCTGTCGCAAATCCTTCTTTAATTAGCAAATTGAGAAATATCAGTGTAAGAGTAAAGATTGATATATATGATAAAGAGTCTATTTTGATACCCAATAATGAAAAGGTTAAAATTATTGGTGTAATGAGTGTAAATATTGTAGTTGAGAAGGAGAATGCACATGTTAGATTTTATTTAGTACCTGATCTAGAACCTAACATTATTTTAGGTATTGATTTTCTTAAGAGTAAAGGAGCAGTGATTGATTTTGTAAATAGAAAGGTTACTTTTTATCCTAGGCGTCAGTTAGTTGCACAAACTGATGTTACTGTACCCCCCAGGTCAGAGAAGGTAATTATTGCAAAAATTAAAGGCACACGTCTGCCTGATTTCATTTTAGGTATTTCTACAGAGTCCCCTGTTTTGGCTTCTCATAGCTTATAAGCTGCGAAATCACTTTCGGAGGTTAGAAACGGGACAGTAGCACATGGTTTATGCAATTTAACAGATAAGCCTATTACAATTAAGAAGAATTCTAATGTAGGGAAATTTGTGTGCTTATCGGACAAAGATAAGGTGTGTGTTGTTAACGAATCAAAGACGTCTGCGTCTGTGCAAAACACGCCCATCGAAGATGAGGGCTCTGTAATGAAGGAAATACTTTCACACATAGGTCGTGACCTAAACGATAATGAGATCAGCTGGTAAATTTACTAGAAAATTACTCTAATGTTTTTGTAAACGGTGGAAAGTTAGGAAATTGCGATATTTTACAACATGAAATTAGCATGCCATGCGATCAAAAACCGATTAGACAACGACCGTAAAAGATTGGTAATAAACAAAAACAAATATTAGAAAACATGATAGAGGATATGTTAAAACAAGATATTATAGAACCAAGTACTAGTCCTTGGGCAACGCCATGTTTTCTTGTTGCTAAAAAAACAATACCGAGTATAGATTCGTGGTTGATTATAAAAAAATTAATTTTATAATAGAACAGGATGCTCATCCTCTTTTAACTACTGACGATGCATTAGAAAGCTTGGGGGCCACCCAACCCTCATACTTTAGTTGTTTGGACCTTCGTAGTGGATTTTATCAGACTCAGATCAGTCCTAATTCTCGCCAATATACAGCATGGAAATGTCATTTAGGACTTTTTCAATTTAAACGTCTTCCGATGGGACTGAAAAATAGCCCTCAAATGTTTCAAAGATTAATGGAAACGGTATTACGAGGAATGACATTCAAATTTTGTTTGATTTATTTAGATGACATAATAGTGTTTTCAAAGACATTTTAGGAACACATTGAACACTTGAGAGACGTTTTTGTTAAACTACGAGATGCTGGACTTAAATTGCATCCCCCAAAATGTTCTTTGCTCAAAGGGAGATAAATTATTTAGGACAAAAAGTTAGCAACGAGGGTATTTCGCCAGATAAGTCAAAAATCGACGCAATCACTAAGTATTCCGTTCCACGTAAACTTAAAAATCTACGTGCCTTCTTAGGTTTATCAGGATATTATAGAAAATTTGTTCAAAATTATGCAAAGATTGCTGCTCCGCTTTATGCACTGTCTAAGAAAAACTGTGATTTTGTATGGTCAAAAGAATGTGACAGTGCATTTGAACACTTAAAATCCGCCTTGACGTCACCACCGATTTTGGCGTATCCAGACTACGATAGACCTTTTCGTGTTTACACTGATGCTAGCTCTTTTGCGTTAGGTGCTGTTCTCTGTCAAGAACAAAGTGGTCAAGAGAGAGTAATTTGCTATGCTGGTCGTGCATTGAGTAAACATGAAAAAAACTATGGAATTACCGAACTGGAATGTCTAGCACTAGTTTTTGCTATAAAGAAATTTGACTGTTATCTCCGATTTACAAGTTTCACGGCTTACGTGGATCATGCCGCTTTGAAATGGCTACTTTCGCTTAAGGAACCAACAGGCAAATTTGCTCGATGGGTAGCACTCATACAATCATATAACTTTGAAATCGTGTATAGACCTGGATCATATATATATGTTGATTCACCGGATGATGACCTCGACAACGAAAGTCTTTTGAATATATAACCATCTTATCAAATACACGAAACTCAACAGTTAAATACGAAAGAATCATCAAATCCGATATTTTCACCACCTGTTAGTAAAATTGCCTGTCAATCAGTGAAACAGTGCTGAGACATTCATGCTAATGCTGATAATTTATTCTCAACGACTGAAATAAAATCTGAACAACGTGCAGATAACAACTATAAAGATATCATAGACTACTTAGAGACCGGTAGATTACCTAAAGATAAGGACAAGCACAGAAAAGTATAATTGCTGCAGCCATTTTATTTCTTACATGATGACATTTTATATCACGTTAATAAACGATCAAAACGTGGACAAAGAGACTTAAATGCAAATATTCAGTTAGCAATTCACGAGAAATGGTTCCAACAATTTTAGCAGAAACCCACAATAGTCTATTTTCTGGTCACTTAGGAATAAGTAGAACTATCCGTCGGACTCAACGTCTTTATTTTTGGCCATTAATGAATAGCGACATTGAAAACTGGATAAAGTCTGTGAACTTTGTTTGGAGCGTAAACAACTTCCAAATCCTGTCCGAGCTCAGCTATCTAGCATTGCTATAGCATCAATGCCTTTTGAAAGAGTCAGTACTGACATTATGGGACCGTTACCCGTTAGTGGACCGTCCAATTATCAATATGTGCTTGTATTTATTTGCTATTTTACAAAGTACGTTGAATTTATACCTGTATCAGATATAAGAGCATCAACAGTAGCTAAAGCGTTTGTAGAGAATGTACTGTGTCGTCATGGTTCGCCAAGTTTTTTATACCCCGACAGAGGATCCAATTATTTATCGAACATTGTTAGAGAAACTTGCAAACTATTTGAAATTACAAAAACTCATACGACGAGTTACCACCCACAGTGCAATGATCAAAGTGAAAGAATGATGCGATCCGTAAAAGACATGTTATCAAAATATTTAGATGATAATAAGAACTGGCATAACTTTCTGCCTTTATTCAATTCGCATATAGCACAGCGCCGTCTGTGGATACAACAGACTATTCACCATTCTTTTTAGTGTATGGCCGACATCCGAAAAATCCGATCGATTCTAACTTACCAAACTTAGATGTCAACAAAACGGCTCAAGAATACGTCACCACCTTACTTGAAGAACTTGAAATAGCTAGGACAATTGCGAAAGAATTAATTGAAATCCGTAAATTAATTGCTCAAATTTCGAAAGTCGGCAGTTAGCCTTTTTTGTCAGTCCAATATGCCGTAAATATCTTATCTCCGGTTATAGGGGCCTTGTTCATGTTTTCTGCTTACACAGTACCTGAAAGATTGTTTTAATAATCCTTAACCATAATTTTAAATCCTCTGAACTCATTCATTCCAAATACAGTTAACCGAAGCGCATATCAAATCTCGATTCTGATTGGCTGAATTTCCTAATTAACTTCATCTTTAGTACTGGCTCTTCAAAGGTTGAATTTTTGCTAAATTTTTTATAAATGAATTCAACTGTTTTTTTTTTTTTTAAAGCGTATTAAAAAGTGTTGTATAATTGAAAGAAAATCAAAATCTCGAAAAAAAACAAAACAAAAAAACAAAGTGAGATAATGATAACAAAAACATATATGGTATATATACATCAGTTTAGTTGTTGACGCGAAGTAAATTTGAAATAGTCAATTGTTTTCCGCGGAGATACACATTGAGTAAAAATTATTTTACGACTGATATTTCTCGATTTAAATACACTTACCATGAAAAGAATACGATAGTGTTCTTCTTTACGAGCTTGTGTTCCCACTGAACATCAAAAACAGCGTATCGACAATCAGCTGTCTCTACTAACTCTTGGAGGAACCGTTTGTACGCAACGTCTGAAAAAAAAACAGATTTTGAAGTTAACTTGTCATATTCATAAAGACATATGTGAGCACATAAACTAACTTCCATTGAAACAAACAAGGCCATGGCCAAAAAGGAAAATTTCAATAACAAACACCGAACACAAAGGTAAAGACTGAGCAACAAAAACCCAACCAAAATTGAGAGAAGAAATCAGGTTCTCCGGAAGGATAGGCAGATCCTTGATGTTAACCGTCGTGTTATAGAATGCAATTACAAATTCATTGTCAAGTTGTATTCCTTGTCATAATCGAGTTAATAATGATAAGAAGTGTTGCTACGACGGTTTGTATTAGTTGTGTACTAAGACACAGATTTTTCACATCGGTCTATCAAATTATGACGGTGTCTGTAAAAATCAGAAAAGATATCAACCAGTCTTATCATAAGGTACGTCAGACGTGCGTTTTGTGTACGTAAGACGTGCATTTTGTCTACTTCAGACTCATCATTGGTGCTCGAATCAAAGGAAAATTGTATACGCAGTTGAAGGGTATTGAAAACCAAGAATTTTGAAAAGTAGTGCAAATACGTCGTAGGCTATCTATGCCAGGTGAGAGGAAAACCTTTATTGTTTCGAATAAGTCAACAATTTATAACAGTTAATTAACAGGAAATGTAGATTGATATAAAGTATTTACTTCAAGGAAATCATAATAGGGATCGCAAGACCTTAATTTACCGTATCCACTTTAAGATTTATACTAAATATTGAAGAGCTACTGGAATGCTGCTTCATTGAAATTGCAAATTCACGGTTGGAAAACGAAATCAACTATTTTGTCGTGAAGCTAAGATCTCGTGTAAGTGAACTTCAACATGTATTTCAAATTAATAGAGACAGTTGCAATCAGCATTGTCGCCAAACTTTGAATTATGCAGTGAAAAGAGATCATCTATATTGTTCTTTTGTAGTATCTTCATGCAAAATTTGAACTTATATTTGTCAACTTTATGCTTTGAAAGTGTTTTTTTCTTTTTTGTTACATATCCTACATCTAACTCTATCAATCTAGTTTATGACGAGTACAAAGAGATGAAGGCTATACATTAATGAGACACCTTTATTCATCAAAAAAGACAAAAACACATATAAAGTCATCAAAAACGCCAGAATTTTAAGATTGTGCGCCCTATGCCTCTATTGTCTACACATATTCATCAGTGGTGTTATAATCAAAACACATGAAAGTCAAAATCAATTTCAAGTTGAAGGACTTTTGAAAACCAAAAAAAAATTAAAATGTAATGCATCAATTCTGGCAACGGCATAACAACTTAGTGTTTCGAAAAATTAACAATTTTACTACATTGTAATAGCAATCTCACAGAGGATGCCCATATCAAGTATATTGCTGAATTCTAAGTAGGTTTTATACTTTGGGACGAAACGTCCAAAAACAATGACATCGAACCAGTGGTCGTAACAGGCTTATTAATTGTAACGACAGCTACAAATAAATTAATGAGTTAGACAATCGTTGACCACTTTCCACCTTCCTCTGCAAAGTTACTTAGACATGTCATTTGAAATAAACTTGTTCCATTATATCTCAACTCTAACCATTTTCAATCTCTATTGATGCACCATGAAGGGACAATTGCATAAGAGAAAAAAAACTAACAACTTAGAAGGGGGAAAAATATCACTTAATATTAGTGGTATAAAAGATTTAGAAAACAATAAAACAAACAACTATAAATAAACGGTAAGACCAATATACCATATCAAAGAAGTCTCCTAGTCACAGATTCGGAAGATTTGGTGTATAATTCATTTTATTTTATGTCCCTTTTGATCATATAACTCTACATGTTTTTTATTGTCTTGTACATCATTGGCTTTGAAATACTTTGGGTTCCTGATGAAGGTAAATACAGAAAAGCGGTACGGACGCACAAACATTAATGATATGCTTTTTTCATTTATTAAAACCTTGCATTAATACTGTTTTTCTTTCTTCAATAAACGTATTACGTTCATTGAAAGATATCAATGAAAACACATCGAATGTTAGTGCAAAGAATAGAGAATTGTAATATTTGTTTATACTAATGCATGAGGAAATAGATAAAAACATGTACTTGGATAGATCTTTGGATCCATTTAGTAGCCCCATTTGGTTCACATTTCCATGACACTAGATTGTTTCACAGTAACTCTGTACCTTGATTTGATTGCTGATAAAATTGATGTGATTAGTTTGGAATGGGGTTCCGTGGAGCACAGGGCTGACCCAACAGTATAACGGTGTTTGTAGGAAATTTGAGTACCCAAAAACTGTGAAGATTTAGTTCAAAAACACTTCAATTAAGTTACATGTTCATACCTGAATCACAAAGTCCTCGGTCTAATGTCTTGTCCACAACAATGTTTTGCATCTGATGGTCTAGCTTGAATGTTATGTAATGATATTGATGGTAAAGTTTCAGCTCTTCAAATTTGTCCACGCATTTCTTCGTTACTTTTACTCCCTATAACAGTATTCATCGGCATATAAATAAATTCTCATATCCAGTCATACAGTCAAGAGGAACAGACTAATATTTGTTTGTAAATAAATAGTAGAATAGCAGATAGGCTTTTATTATGGGTTTCAGTATTTTAACATTACCATGTAGGGTACGTGTGTGATATGATTCTGTGAGGGAATTCGATTTAACTATACCATGGTTGACTTAAAGCACTTGATGACGTTTTAATGAATTAATCAGAATAAGATTTTTTGTAATAGGTTAAGAAATGATTTTGCTATGTATCTGTAAATTTACTAATTTAAAAGTGAATATGTATAAAGTTAATACTTTTGTTTACTTTTGAAGCTTAAACTTTGTATTGCTGAAAAACACTCTAATGAGAGTTTGAAAAACAATGCCATAGTTTTTAAATTCTTGCAAACAGTTTGGATGATTAAAGTTAGGTCGAAATAACAACACGATATATTTTTTAAATCTATCATTTGCTCCATACCCAATATAAACCCAACATTACTTGTGATATGGACTGGTCATTGTAAGTAAAGTTTATGCTATTCGATTTATTTGTAAGAGTTATTAATGTTATACTTTTTGAATTTTTTCCTTTGTGCATTTTGTCAGACAATGAACTTTCCTTATAAAACAGAATCGAACTTTCATATGCACTTTGGTTAACAGCACGTGTAACTAAATACTCATTTGTTTACATTATAAATTTTAAAAACAATGTTTTCACACTTCATATGTAATAATGTAACCTTGTTGAAAGTCCTAGCCTGCAAAATTTCATTTGAAATAATATGCTTTTATTCTATGAATGTATAAATAAGCTTGTTATATGAAAACCCTCTGCATTTTTATGCACCTGTCCTAAGTCAGGAGTCTGTTGTTCATAGGTGTTTTTTTTTTTTTTTATTGTTTTACTGTTCAGTGTGAGCCAAGGCTCCTTGTTGAATGCAGTACTGTGACCTATAAATTTTAACTTTTTATACATAAATTGTGACTTGGATGGAGAGTTGTCTCATTGGCACTCATACCACAACTTCTTATTTATAATTTCAAGTTTTTTGTACACACATGTGTAAAGCAGATTTACATGCATTTGAAATCTACATACAATAATTTTTTTATAAACTTTTCTTAGACTTATAAGGATATATAATTTATAGGTTTTTCAAGTTTACCTATTTATATTTATCAACTAACAAATTATAAAATTCTTATTGGAGTGACAGTTTGATTTAAAAAAAAATATGCTTTCCTTAGTGGTGCAGATAATGAGTTTAGATACTATTAGTTATTATATCCAATATCATTTTGATGCGAATTCTTGGGGATAGGTCTCGAAATCGTTTTAGCAATTATACGCGATTTGTTTTTACTTGAATATAATGTCTTTCGAGAAAGGCTATTGTAGTATTTAAAATTGATATGGCCACTTAACTTCAAATTTGAAGCAGTATGCTATCCATACTTTATACACAAAAGATGTTACAATGTGGTCGGGCACTGTTTACTTTAACATCCCGGAGTTCGTCTAAATTGTTAAGTTTTTTTTAGGGTATTCGTAATATTCAATCTTTTTTTCTGTTTGTTGTTTTAATGATTATTTTTTTTTACTTTAATATATTGTTTTGTCTGTTCCTGTGAATGGTTATTCATTAGACTGTAAAGAAATTTTTTATAAGATTGTTCACCTTTGTGTCGTCTGTTGTATATTTATAAAAATAATAATAAAGTATATCTTGATAAAAAAAAGGAATAAAGGTCCCCTTTTTGAAGGATTTCTAGCTAAAATCCTACTTTTAATTTTGAATGTCTATACTAATTCCTGGTTAATGTTTTGCAGTTGTTCCCAAGTAGTGCAGCCGAATGGATCTATAAAAAGTCCTATCGATGAGGAATAATAAACATAGAAGTTTACACCTATAGGTTACCGTACGGCCTCCAACAATCAACAAAACCCATACCGCATTGTAAGCTATAAAAACCCCAGAAATGACAAATGTAAAACATGTTAAACAAATAAAACGAAAAAACTAACGGCATGATTTATAAAGCATAGAACGAGATACATTTAACATGAAATTTCATTTAATTTTCTCATTGCTATTGTATTTAAAACCTGTTGATTAATTCCTGATATCTAAGCTGGTAACTAAACAACATATCCAAATTTGTTCAACCTTTTTTTCCTGCATTTTCTAATCTTTTAATGGAATCTGACATGGTTTTAAACATAAGAGTGATTAACAAAAAACGTAAATTTTAAAATCTGCAGAAACGACATGTATTTGGTTGGTTATCCAGCAACAATCAATCAATCATCATAATTCTTTACTTTTACATGAGAAAATTGCAAATGGCTGATTTGGAATGATTTTGTTTTTAAAAGTATATCCAAACATGTTGTGATTGGTTCAATCTTGCTCGACAATTGCAATTTAGCCAATACTGACGGTTGTTCATTTTATGGAGCTTGTAGTGTATCGCAATAGATTTTCTCTTGAAAAACATGATCTGATGACATACTGTAGCCAAATTTTTGAAACCTAGACGTATAGTTTAACAAAAAAATAACTGAAACTCTTATAAACCCAAAGGTAATAATATGTTTCTGTGACAAAGTTATGGCCATTTGAAATTACAAAAAAAAACTTTATGGAGAAATCTTACGTTTTACCTTGGTATGTACAAACCATTCATCTTTGTGTAAATTAGATTCTACGGAAGACGTTTTTAATAAGTTTAACATAATAACGAGATATACAACTAAACGTCAATTATTTTTTATGATTTCTATATTTGTTAGTTCCTTAAATAAACTACAAATATTCAAATAATATGATTTATAGCTGAAATGATATTAGACTGATTAAGTTTTTTGGTACACACGTTAAACATAATATAAAAAGCTGTAGAATTATTTGCATATTTGTATCTTAAGAATGCTTACATTTCATTTATGAATAATAGCTCAATTCAGTTCGTCTTTTCATTTTTTTCAATTTTTTTTTATTATAATCCGGAGCGTTACTCATTGTTGGTAACTGTATAGTACAGTTATTTACAAATTTGTTCATTAATCTGTTTTTGGATAGCTTAAATCTTCATTTAGTAACAATCAAATTTTTAAAAATGTGGTTAAATGATAATTTCTCAAAATGTCACGATTTTATATGAGTTTATATTCACACACAAACACACACACACACACACACACACACCAAAACACACACACACACACACATACGCACTTATACAATAAAAATTAAACAAAATATAACACAAATAAAACATAAAAAACAAGGTAATCAATCAAAGAACAATGTAACAAAATCTTTAAAAAGTATTGTAAGTATACTTTAAGATTAATGAACCTACCTCTGCACCTTTAATCACTGCAGTTTGCAGAAATAAAGTGACAGTCCAAAATACACCAATAAGAAGAATCTGGAAAGTAAGAGAATTCTGAAATAGAATGGAACATCAGTACAGATATATTTATAAATTGATATATAGTGTTTTATAACATTGAAATGAATTTCTTTGAACTTATTCATAACGTTCAATTACATGCCATAATATAAACAAAATTATAATCATTGATGTTTACAATGTATGTTAATTTGAGAAGAACACCGACGTACCTTAACTACTAACCGTGACTGTACAAGTTTGAATGCCGATCAAGCCATTGCTTATACTTTAATATTAATGACAAGTTTTAAAACGAGGAGGTCATTTTGGCTATATCAGACATGTCAGAGGTCTGTTTTTTTTTCGTTTTTTTTTTTTTTTTTAACTCGGAGCTTTTTTGATACAACACGGAATGATATTGATGGGCGTATAATGTTGTTTATAACATTGAAATGAACTTCTTTTAAATAATGCACAACGGTAAGTTGTCTGTCAAATTATAACTGTAAACTGTACATGTTTGTCCATTGGTCTGTTAAAGAGTAGTTTCTAATAGTATACGACATCTCTTTTTATATAATATACATTATAAAGAGAACTTATGATACAAAAAATGTTTTTATAAATAAAGCTGTAAATCAAACACCAAAAACAATACCAAGAAGAGAAATAAAAACAAAACCCATTTGAAACAAAATAATAAACTACTTTTTTATATGTTTTGCAAGGGCAAATCAATAAAAATAAATTGGTAAAAATGCAGATATTTGGTTTTCGGGAAAACAAAATAAATTTCACCACATGTAATGGAAACGACCATTATTCTATCAGTTTTACCTTGATCCTCAGGACTATAAGTACACACACGCGACCATTAATATCAAACACACAAAAAAAAATATCAAAGAACCATGTAATAAGAACTTTAAAGTATTTTTAAACATTGAAATCAATGAAAATATCCTAGCAATATACTAACCTTTAACATTTTCAAAAATGAAATGACTGGTCCAAGATATAACGTTACAATTAAACAAATACGGCAAGTAGTATAATCCTGAAATAGAATATATATTGATAGATAGTTTTTTTTATATTGAAATGAACTTCGTCGAAATTATTAACAACGGTAAGTTGCATGCCATGTTATGACTGTAAAGTTTTGAAAGTCAGTAATCTTTTTTATAACTTATAAGTGTGATCACACTTAAGCAGAAGTCCAGTTTTAAATCATGTTTAGTTAGGTTAACTGATACTTTGTTTATTGCATATGTTGTTTTTTTAATAAAATATATAATGCATATGTTTTTATTGTCGTTTGAATTCTATCAATTTAAAGTAAACAAAAATTAACTTCAAAAAGTAAAGTTTTCATATCATTGGGTTTTGCTAAGTCCATTCCGTTCATAAACGTGTTTTTGTAAAAGTGAAATTGTGATATACGCCAATTAAAACAGATGCCTAGATTTTTTTCATTATTCTCCTGTGCTTCTGCAAACAAACCCAGTGACAATAATAAACTGTTGATTGTAAGGGGCTAAAATTCAGTTTCCAATAATGGGTGACATCCTCAATGTCAATATATGTATTTTTTTGGTCAAACCTTTGCTCATATAAACATATTAATATAAAAATTGAAAAAAAATGCTATTTTGGCAATTCGTATTTTTTATGCCAGAACCGAGGTACCAAGCTATTGATCTAGTAAGAAATAGTGGTATTAGTAACCATGCTAACAAATTGAGTATTAGTATGTTGTGTATGACTTTATATTGTAAACCTTTGATTTATATTTCATTGAAAATCTAAAAATTTACAAATTATGTTTGTAAAGTTATTTTTATTTCCAAATACAAAATTGGAAATGACCGATAGAACCCGAGATTAAGTACCCTGTCCTCAACACAAAATAGTTTTTTTTTTTGCTGAACTGCACATTTCAGTTAAAACAGTAAAACAAAAACAACGGTACATTCTGATTTAACAAAAATGTGCATGATACTTGGTATGATATTTAGAGGTAAGGAAAAACAAACCCAGATAATTTAAAGCATTTAAATAATGACAACGTATAAAGCAGAAACTATAACACTACAATAGTCCGAAAGACGTTTTTGTGTAAAATTTTCGTGGAATTTTATGAACTTTGGACAGAAGCTTGCTTATCACGAAAGGACGGTATCTAGATCAAAATTTAGAAAATGATTATTTTCCTTCACCGTATTGTACTGATAAAAGGACTACTATAACTTTGTCAAACCTCCATTGAAATTTATGACACTTTGGCACAGGGTTTATGATAAATAAGAGCAAACTTTCAAAAATATGGGTTTTTTTTTCATTTTCAGTATTTTTCTGATAGATGGACTTTGTTTTTTTACATCTAACATTCATAGACAATCTAGGATTAAATGTTTTTTGACATGATCAATTTATAAACCTTCATAGATTGTAATGAAACTTGGACAGAGAATAATCTTAAAAATATAACATTTAAAGAAACGTTTCATTTTATTTATTTCTGTATTATACTGATAAATGGACAAACTTTTTATTGTCAACATTACACCTTTGCACGGACAACAGCAATAGCAAGCTAAACACATGGCTTCGAAGAACCTTCACAATTTGTTTTTAAAAATTACCTGAAACTGAACAGGCAATTTGCCGAATTGTGCTTTAAATGTTCGGCCGTTTTACAAAATGATGAGGCTTTTTAGTCATTTCATATATTGCCCATCAAGGTTAGGCATTTTATAAATTGCCTGAAAATTCAGTAATTTTACAAAATGACTTTAACGTATATATATATATAAATATGTATGTGCCCTTTAAAACATAAACTTTTTTTACGGTTTTGATCATTCCTATATGAAAATTGTTTATTTTCATATTTTTGTTGACAATGATAATACCCGACTTCTATATACAAATTAGGAGATGTGGTATGATTGCAAATGAGACAACTATACATCAAGTTCAAATGAAGTGGATGTTATCAATTAAAGGGCAACAGTGCTGCCTTCAACGATGAGAAAAAACCCATTCCGTATGATCGGTTTTAAAAGGCCCGTACATGAAAAATATAAAACAATTGAGAAAACTAACGGCCTAATTTAAAAAAAAATAATTTACGAAAACAAATATGACAGACATGAATCAACGACAACTACTGAAGTACAGGCTCCTGACTTGGGACAAGCACATAAAGAATGTGGTGGGGTTGAATATGTTTGTGAGTGCTCAACCTCCCCTAACCTTGGACAGCGGTGTAACAGTGCAACATAAGAACAAACTATATAAAAAAAACAGTTACAAACAGATACAAATAGAAATACATCTAACAAAAACAGAGTGGAGGTGGACATAGTTAAGAAGATATCGAAACAATTGATCACTTTATCGTAAAAAGTAAAATAACAATACTACCAACTCCAAGAAAAATTCAAATCGGAAAGTCCTTTATTTATCAAATGCCAAAATCAAAAGTTCAAACACATCAAACGAATGGAAAACAACTGTCATATTCCTGACTTGGTACAGACATTTCCTTATGTAGAAAATGGTGGATTGAACCTGATTTAATAGCTATCTAAACCTCTCACTTGAATGACAGTCACATGACATTCAATTATATTGACAACAATGTTTGACATTTTAGCGCCTGTCCCATGTCAGGAGCCTTTGATCTTTGCTAGTCTTGTATGATTTCTAATCTTATTTCATTTATATGTTTCGGAGTTTAATATGACGTCCATTTTCACTGAACTAGTACACATTTTTGTATATGGGCGAGTTGAAATCCGCCTCCGGATGCGTGGTTTGCTCGCTGTGTTTTTGAGATTAACACAAGCATATTGAGTTAAGACGGATAGAAAATAACAAAATTGGAAAAAAGAAACGAGAAATGTTTGAAAACAAGATATTGTATGTTGTTTTGATATTATTATTTTGCAATTAAAATAGATTTGAATAAACTAGGGTAACAATGTTGCAAACCTTTGACTTGGATGCAAGTAATTTAAACCAAAACATTGTCTAGCTTTATGACTTGTACCCTTCACTTGTCAAATATGTGTGTTTTGTTCAAATTTGTAAGCGGTAGGAGTAATTTTTTCCATTTCAATGATATTTTGTACTAGAAAATGATAGACGTCTGATGTTCATAAGATGTCAAATACTAGAAAATTGTTGCATGCAAAATAGACACATCTTTTGGAATCAATGTACAATGTTATGAAAAAATTATGAACTTGAAACGTTGAAATTCATTAACTGCGAAATTGTCTTCTTTTTAGAATCGAAGCAATAGAAATCGCATTAGGACAGCCAGGCGGTTGAATATATTCTGTGTTATGTAACTACTTCTGATTTATACCAGATGATTTTTTAGTTGTAAGATTAAAGTTGTTCAGTGTTTGAACTTCAGTTTTCAGTTGAAATATGTTTGGGGTAGGGTAACATTTTCCATATTGTATATCTTATAAATTAGAAAGCTGAAACAGTTTTCTATTAAATGTTAAACATCAAATTGATAATCAAAACAATATTTGTGTTAGAAATGCAAAAAAGGAATAAATGGAAAAATCTTCAAATCTAAAAGGTGTTCATTTGCTACGTTTTCTGACTACAAACATTGGTTTTAACAGGTCAAACACCACAACATATGCAGTTATTACAACAACTTTCAGAATGGTTCAGATTTTCTATAAGTTGTTATTTCTGGTGTATTTGAGAATAATGAATACACGTTTGTTCTAACATTTTTGTCGATTTGTCATGGTGTGGGTGATTTGAGAAGAAGCGTGAAAAACAAAGTTTAACACTTGATAATATTCAGAAAGTTAATTCCTTGGACCTAATTTAATACCATACATGAATATGCACGGAACTGTACTGTGTGTTGGACATAATCATTAGGTAAATGGTGCTATATGCCCATTAACTTGGAACAGTAAAAGTACTGGATTTTTTTTTTCGTGGCTCCATATTCAAACATATTTATAGTATCATAACTATCACTGTACAGTATCATGATTTTATCATAAAGGGAATAATAACGCCAAAATATAAGACTTAGCTGCTAAACGCCTTCTGGACTAGAACATACCATAGTTTTCTATTGATATGTGGTTTGATGTTAACAAAAACTAGCGTTAGGGTGCGTTGTGTACGATTTACAGAAACGAGTTTCGGCTGTCGCGTTCAATTATTTCAGTGGACAGGGATTTCCCCTTGTAAAATCAATATAAATTAAGATGGGTAAATATATATTCAAATAAAATAAAAAAAGATAAAATATTCTTACCTTGTCCAATATAACATAATCGAAAAGTTAACTTCTTGGTGTTTATATAGTAGTAAAATTAATAATCGCTTGATTGACAAGCGGAACAAAATGTACTTTCATTATTATACTATATCTGACTAATCATATTTTTGATGTTTGTAAAAGATTTACTTGATGATGTGGTAAAAGAATTAAAGCATGTAAATTTGTGCCATTAAATTGTTTACGAATTTTAAAAGAACTGAAAATCCTTTTAATCTTATATCTATGATACACAATTATTAGTAGGCATCGAGGTGTAAACTTGCATTTAGATTTAAGAGAAATTATTAGATCATGGTACGGAGTTCACTATAGGTGGATATTTTGTCAATTTGGCAAATTGACAATGGTAGTTATTTGTTGCCTGTTTAATTCCGCCGTTCAATTTCAAGGACGTAAATAGTCTGAGCATCGGTTAAGGCGTTTTGGCCCTACAAACTATATGAGGGCTTTCGGGTGAATGACTTTTACGACATATAATTCAAAGATAATTCTTCTGTCATTGCAATGTCAATAAAACGACCATTTGCAAATACAAAAAAAGCAAACAATGATCTACGCCCTCAGAGATTTATTTGTTGTGCTTTTTAACAGTATAAAATTGAGAATGGAAATGGGGAATGTGTCAAAGAGACATTAACCCGACCATAGAGCAGACAACAGCCGAAGGCCTCCAGTGGGTCTTCAATGCAGCGAGAAACTCCGGCACCCGGAGGCGTCCTTCAGCTGACCCCTAGTATGTTTACCAATGCCTAAATGTGACTTTGAGAAGGATAACAACTGTTATAAAAAACATGATGTATCATGACCTAATACAGTATGTCATAATTTTTTTATTTTTTTTTTTGCTATATAGACATATACTAGTAAATGATGTCATGTATTAAGAGTAGGAATTTGAGAAGATGTGTCGGATAGGTCAATGAAAAAAACACCCTAACGACAAAAAAGAGCAAAAACACAAATAAAGGGTAGCATTAATTCTTCAACCAAAGACATAGATCCCAGTCTATTTATATGAATAATCATTGAATAGTCATATTTAAATAAATTATGTTTATTTCTGGTTTACACAAAAATTGGATTCTGTGCAATGTTTTCTTTTTTTTTTCATAAGACTAAAAAAAAAGATACGACAATTCCCCAAGGATATTATAAATAACTCAGAGTGGAGATAAATTTCTGCATCTATGATTATGCAAAGGTCTGGCATCACTTGTATATTTCATATTCAAATGTATTTCTTTTTGTTTAAAAAAATAAAAACGTTCCTGAATTTGACGTACAATTATTTTTTTTTTGGTTCCTTGGTTCCTGCAGAAGATGGTAAAAAAACAACATTTGCGTTTCCCTTGATATGGCCAACTTAGTTACAAACTTGTAAATTACCTATTGTTGCATCGATAACTAATGTCACTCTATTCACGGCTCTCATTCGGTATATCAATCAAAAATAAGTGGCCAAGTATTGCGATCGGATCTTGAAATATATCTTGGTATTGCATCGTTAATTGTGAATGCAATTAAATACAATTCGACTTAAAAATCTGTGAAAATATCCGCTGTGTTATAAAACGATGAAACTGCAGAACAAAATCAGAAAAAAGTGTGACAGTCTAAATGGAATAACTCCATCAATACTACTGTAATAAAACACAAGAAGTAGATATAACTTTGTGTGAATCTTTAAATCAAAACCACGCTTTGAATCTATAATCATATGATAATGATTTGGGTAGAACGGTAAAATGAAATTGATTTATTCCATGAAAATGTTCTGACTACTATTTACGTTTCTTAAAAATACATCTATAACTTATTTTCAGCATTTCGTAATGCCAGCAAACGGATACAGGTTGAATAAATTCAGAATGGCATACAAAGAATATGTTACAATTTTCGTAAAATACTTGCACAAAAAGATGCTTCTTAAATATTATGAATTTTCTTTAAAAAAAAAGTACAGTTTTTATCTCAAAATGTTTCATTTTCTGCAATCAAAAAGTTTTTTTTTTTACCCAAAATTTTGACACTCGGAATCAATTTAAAAATTCCATATCATACTTATATACAAGTTTTTATTTAAATATTAGAACAGAAAGAAGAGAAACAACAATTTCTCTAAGTGCACATGCACAAAGTCTCTGGAATCAATTCGGAGTATCACTGTGTATCTTATTAAAATTTTTATTGAAATGATTGTTCAAAAAGATATGTAACAAAATGTATGATGTTTAACCTTAAAAAATTACTTTTTATCGAAACTCCGAATCTCTGATTTTCTCTGAAAGTTATCATAATTTCAGCAATTAAGACAGACATTTATATATTATTACAAAACTGTCTTTATTATTCAATAAAATAAATTGCGTGTCTTTTCTATACGATTTCCTTAAAAAAATTCTCCCCTGCTTTTCTTTTACAGATACTCGGCAAGGACTGTCCTCTTATAGATATAAGTATTGTTTATACAAATGAATTATTGCCAGATTAGGCAATCTTATAATAAGATGAAAAATTTTGGCGGGTGGACAGACAAACAGTAATGGCTATACGGTACCACAAACAGTCGGCGCGTTTGTTTAAATTGTGTATGTCTTTGAAATGTTAGAGAGAAATCTGCTTTTTACAGTGTTTTAAAAATTGTGATCTTTTAAACTATGATTTTCTAAGATGGTGATAATAATATCCAACCATTAAGAGAGAGATTTTTAAATGATTTCAAAGCTTGTCTTTATAATTCAATATATTAATTAGATTATGTGTCTTTTCATGAATATGGCAGTTGTTTTCAATTCGTTTAATGTGTTTGAGCTTTTGATTTTGCCATTTGATAAGAGAATTTCCGTTTTGAATTTTCCTTGAAGTTCGGTATTTTTGTTATTTTACTTTTTTCTATAGATTTCCTTCACGATCATTAACAAGAATTTACACAATCCTTTCACCTATACTTGACCATCGTTACTTATTTCTGTATGATTTTCTTTCTCGATAAATCGAACAGTCGCGCTATTGTCCGTGTCAATCTATGCAGTTCTGTTCTATTCAATATACTATATGCATTTCCTGCATTATATTAGTTGAAGTAAAATAATTAAATGGGAGATTCCGAGAAACTATACAAATTAACAATTTTCAGTTCTATTCCACGTGTGATAGTCAACTCATTATAACCTACAGCGCATTATGTTTCTATTTTTTTGTCGATCGGTATCTTCCCAGGAGTATGTTTACCTTTTTCATTTGGGAAATTACTATGCAAATGTAGTTTGACGTCCTAATACAATAGGTCTTGATCTGTTTAAATCAAAGTAATCTTGCTTTTAATTTCTATATATTATATATATTGCAATTGCAGTTTTTTGGTGACATGATACTTTGTATTAATTTGATACGTGTATTTGACAGAAACAGAGAAAATTTAGTTGAAACAAAATGGGAATAATTTTCCAAAACGATAAAACAAGGGAAATATTTGTAATATTTACTTATTTATAAAAATGATAATTTCAAACATTTCGTGGATTGATGTGGAAGAAATTAAAGTATGGAAAGTTGAAAGCATGTAAATAAGTAATTAAATTGTTTTCGAATTTTAAAAGGAATCATAGGTGTTTGAACCTTATATTTATATAGGAAAATAATAAGTGATCACTGAAGTGTATACTTGCATTTTGATTTAAAGTAGATGATATGTTCAACCGTGATATCTCAAGGACATCACATGAATTGATAATTGTTTAGCCATCAAAACATGGGACAATTTAAAGCAAACGATTTGTAGGACATTGAATCCAAAAATGGAAAATGCCGTCGAATTTCAATAACAAATAGACATCCAGGTACAAATAGTCTATACATCAGGTAACCTTGAATCTTCAAAAAATTGGAGTGAACGAACTGTTTAATAAGATCTGATATAAGATTTGAAGGTGTTGCAATTTGACGGTGTAAGAATGAACATTTTTTAATACAAAATGAGAAGACCTGTTTTAGCATGTGTCGCTCTCTTCCAGATCAAATCAATCAATTTGACTCTATACCTTCATTGTAGTATGCAAACTGCAGTTTTTATCTCCCTAATGATAAGTCACTTTTAGTTTATTTGTGAATATACTTCATCTGCCTGAATCCATGACTTGGCCAATAGCAATGGCGGACTTTTACAAACTTGGTTTACAACAAAATCGGTTTCACAAACTCGACTTAATACAGATCTGCCATAACAAACTTGAATTATTAAACGAATTTAGTGAAGATTGTTTACAAAATTATTAATATAAATTAGATTAAATTAGAATTTAATCCTCTGTTTTTATCCATGTGGTGCCATTAAAACATTTTGCCCGCTAGCCCCTACTTTTCTTTTCATAATTTTATTACTTATCGTTGAAAATGCTATTTTGAAAATATCATAAAGTACTTGTTATTTTTCCATAGTTTTTGAAAGAAAACTGGTGTCAATGTGTATTTTATGAAGAATCTAGAGAGAATCATTTCCCGCCAAATTTTCAATGGCCTATATCTCAAAAACAAACTCACAGACCTTGTATTTTTTTCTGCTTTTTTAGTTCCGTTACATATACATTATCAATTTATAACAGTCATTTAAAAAGCTTGTTATTTTGAAACAGAGTAGCAAACATCATTAAGGAGGTGTGTATGTGTATATGTTCGTGTAAGTGTATGTATATGTTTGTTTATGTGTATGTCGAAAATACAGAACTGGACAAATGTTATTTCAATAACTTAAATTTCAGATCTACCCAAAAGTCAACGCCTCCAATTCAGCAAAATTGATGTCAGTCTTTTATTCATGATACTATGTATTTCGCTCGATATCAGGTAAAATGTCTTTACCGTACTACATCTATCTTGCTTTACGAGATACTTTATATTTCGGAAAGACATAAGAATAAACAATTGAAAATTCCTTAAGCATATAGTTCCCATTTCTTTTGGCATTATCTAATGGTTTTAAGAGCTCATTTGAGTTTAACAGAAAAAAAAACACTTTGCTATTTATTTCACGTGAATT